CGAGGCGTAGGTTCTTCTTTCTGTTCCGTCCGTGTGACAATCGACGGAACATTCGTGCAGGCTGTGGCTCTCGGGGTATGAGAGGATAAACCGCTTGTCATGCACGTCCGCGTGCTCAACGCTGCGCGCAAGGCCGCGATCGCGTGGAACAACGCCTCCTTCCTCAGTACACCTGTGAGTCCCTTTTCGAGAGGTGAAGCTGACGGGCGATCATCTCACACATTCTATACAGGTCGACTTCCCCGTGGCCTCCACCTCGCAGCTTGCTGTCTCGAAGTCACCGCTCCTCGCGCTCCTCGCGAACACCGGCCAATCGTCCTCGCCGAGCTGGTCCGTTCCCAGCACGAACTACACCAAGGGCGAGGAGCTCATCGACGTGTTGAGCTGCGTGACGACCAAAGTCGGCAGCGCCGGTGCGGTGGCGTGGACGGGGAGCTCGGGGATGCCTGCGGTGCGTGTATCATTTGCGTTGAGGACGCACCGCTGACGCCGGAGCGACAGGTCCTTCTGCCGACGTCGGTGTTCAACGCGAGCTACTGCAACACGCTCAAAGGCGATGTCAGTGGAAACGCGGGCAGCCCGTGGGTCGCGCAGTCATCTGGGAGGGGGCTGGGCTTGAGCGTGGCCGGTGCGCTGGTCGCTACGGCCTTTACCATCTGGTCTCTCGCTACGTGGGCGCTCTAAGCGAGTGGAGCCCAGGTTAGAGTTGGATGTACGCTGCCGTAGTGGTTGTGGACCCGGATGATGGTCGGCTTGTTGGTTGTGATATTTGGGACGTTCAGACAGACTGGACTTTCAGCATGACGATGTAGATCTCTGTACTGTTGTATCAGTTTGTTTTGTAGACGTGTGTGTTGTACAGTACTCGATGGCTGTAGATTTTACGTAGACTGTTGAAGGGTGGCCTTGTTTCGGTTGTTCAGTAGTACCGTGATAGGGCCTGGCACAGTGATCTGCGTTCAAACGTTCAAGGTCAAGGTTAGTCTCCCCATAGTCCTAGGCATACCTTGGGCATACCTCAGAGAAGATTTGTTGACGGTGGGGAAGGCGGTCCTCTATGGGTCACGGTGGCAACGAGGACTTTGCTGACCTTGACGTCGGAGGAATGGCACTGCGTCTGACCATAATGAAGGGCGTGAATATTGAATGACGAGTATTAACTCGGTGGTACGAAGCATTGTACGACTAAGATCTCTTGCATTGTGAGAGCAATCGACAAGTTGATTCGGTCGGCGAGCGCGAGTGTCTACGGGATTAAGTCAGATATAACAAAAGTAGGGATCTGGCGGACAAACAGTACTCATGCAAAACTCACGTCAATTTTCCGCCACAACATAGAAGTCTGAACTTCCCACCTCATCGTTAGATGCGGTACCATCAGCAGCGTGCCCTTGATATGCGCGATGCCGAGTCAACAATCCTACTCAGTCAGGGACTATTTCAGCGGTCCGAGTCGTGCATCACCGTGGGAGGGCATTGGCATTGCATGGAGCATAGAGGGGCTATGATACAGTATATACACAAATGGGGGACATGTCCGAGCTACCATAAAATACGCTAGCCAGCGAACCTAACTGTGGCTTGGAGGGAGGTAAGGTCTACCTATGCCCCGGGGTTAGCTCGATTAGACGCTCCTTGCCGGCTTGAACAAGCTCCTTGTATGTAGCCTCGCGGAAAGTAGGAAACAGGTGCGGTTGCATGGACGGCGCGATGTGGAGCTCGGGCTGGTAGGTGATCCCAGCGACGTGATGCAAACTGACCAAATAGATACATTCCTTGGTTAAGCCGTACTTCTTGACCGTGGCCATCCCCCAACAGCGGTGATCTGGCGGTGACTCTAAGCGATCGGCGTAGCATTTCTGGAGATGGTATCAGCATCGACGCCATCCTAGCGGAGATACAGTAAGATCACTCACGTCCATCGCCTTCCGGACGATGCCACCGACCGCCCGTGCGAGCTCTATACTGGTGATATGGCCAGTCTTGGTCAAGAGTTGAACGTCCTGTGCGACCTCCGTTCTAGCCTTTTCGTGGTTGGGCCACTACATGACGCATCGGACATAGTCAGCCGTGCCGTTGAGCGAAGCAAGAATGAGGAGATAAATACATACCTGGACCCTGACCTTGATCTTCTTGCTTTCTGGAATCTTCTTGCTTTCTGGAAACTTCTCGAAAGAGTTTTGGAACGGAGTGGCCAATCCATCCGGGATCGTGTCCGTCCGGTTCTCCACCGTGAGCGTGCGCATGTCGATGCCACGCCTGCCAAAATACACCGACGGGAAAAAGCCCTCGGGATATTTCTCACTTTTGGCCTTTGTCGTCGTTGCATAGGTCTGAGGAAGGAGATACATTCCCGTAGCTGCATTCCAGGTGGCCCGGGTGCAGCCACAAGTTTGTGGCCTGATGATCGCAGGGAACAGTCGAGGTGGCCTCGATGGAGCGACTTGGATAAGGCTCCAACTATATAATATATATACACCAAAGACCTGTATATATATGGTATATGGTATATATATAGTATATATACAGTATATATATGGTATATATGGTATGCAGGAAGTACTAATATTTCATATTATCAAACTTGAAAAGACCATCTTTGAGCCATTGCTTTGAGCACATGGCCTCACTAATTGTCTCTGCCCTCAGAGAGCTGCGTGTGTCAACACAAAGGTGACGAGAAGCAGAAAACAAACGCTCGACAGAAACAGAAGCTCCTGGGATGGCGAGGAAGTCCCTGGCAATAGATGCAATGACACGGAACTTGCTTGCATTTTCCTGAAGAGAACATATCAAGTATAGGCTCAGACAGCCACGGAAGAACATACCTTCCACCATCCAAGTGGATCGTGTGGGTTACCCCTTCCACCCTCGAAGCGCAGCCATCGTACGACCTCTGAGTCCTGAACATCAGCTCCATCTTGAGCTTCAGGGTCTGGAACATCAGCAGACAGTAGGTCAAGGAAGGATGCTGGGGTCGCTACTGGAGCTGGACGTGCAGGCGCATCCGTAGCTTTCGGTAGCTTCTTCTCATACTCGTGGAAGACATGTTCGAAGAGGGCTTCAGCGCGGAGCTTCTCCTCACTACCGAGCTTGCTAAACCAGTTGACACGGAGGTTTGGATGGCACACTACAAACAATGAAACATACATCGAGAGAGTTCAACATAAGCACATACCTGTTGCAACCACATTGTACTGACACTCCCTTGCCTTCGTGTAGTATTGCTCTAGTTTCGAAAGACCAGCCTGTGCCGCAACAGCTAGCATAGGCTTCGTACTCGGGCTTGTAATCGTGTCGGTCAAAGCTGTCTTCATATGGGCATACATGGGCAATACCCATGGCAGCGTCGGCATGCTTTGCTTCGACATGATGTGGGTGACATGTGTGAAGTGCTTGACATAACATTAGACACATACACGGAGAGGCAAGTAAGGATGTACATACACTGAGCAGATTTGCAAGCTGCTGTAGGAAGTTCCAGTCTTCGGGGAACAGCGTGAGAGCTTCGAGATCATCACGCTCGGCAACCCAATCGGTGATGGCCTACAGACTCGAGCTGTCAGTAAGACACTGCATAGAACGAGCCAATCGTACCTTCTTGAGTAGCAGAGCACGCTCGATCATTGCATGAGTACAGTTCCATCGTGTACGCACATCGCGGACCGGCATTAACGTAGTGAGCGGTTTCCCACCAGTCGGATTGGGCTTCCCTTCGTAATGGCGCACAGCATGTTTGCGGAACGACGAGCGACGTTGAGGCGAGCTCACAATCTTGCGCACGATGAGGCGTAGCTGAAACATACCATCACTATTATCTGTTCGCAACACCACTTGAAAGAACTCGACTGACCTTTTGAACAGCATTGAGGATCTCTTCATCACTGATCGGTGTATCCTTGTCTTCGTCCGAACACAGGTCCGCGAGCTTCTCATCCATGGCTGCAGCCTCTTCCTCCTCCATCGCGTTGAGCTCGTCATCATCTTCGAGGTCGTAATGAAAGGGGAGGAACTTATGAAGGAGGTACCAATCATTCTCGTCGGGATCTTCAGCATCAATGATAGATGCTAAGATCTTCTGCACGACGAGGTTGACGACGTGCGCGAGACACCGTATCTGGCCGTTCTCGGGAGAGAAGTGTATGCCATACTTCTCTAGGAGTAGGCCAGTCAAAGTCCTCGCCAAAACATCGTTCGTCGAGGCATTATCCATCGTCAAAGCTATGAAGTAAGGTCACCATATAGCTCCGTCACGAGAGAGCACAAAAGAGGAACATATCTTATCGAGACTCCCTCGCTTACTCCCAGATTCCATGAAGGCCTTCGCCGCGTTGACGCCCTCGTGTTCATCGTCCAAGAGGTGCCGGAAGTCGACGAGACGCTCGACGAGCTGCCAATCGTCGTCGATGAAGCTTGCGATGGTGCCCGCAAACGTGTACATCATCTGCGCTGTCGTCCAGGTATCCGTCGAAAAAGCAATCTTGGATTTGACGGCCTGAGTGCCGACGAGAGTCGGGCGACTCACCCGTGGTGAAGGGAAGATCGTCCTCGACGATCCAGGCTGCGAAGACTTGGAGGAACCCGCGTTGCGTCGGCTCGACCTTCGGGTTAAGCTTACCCTCTTTGAGGTAGCCCTCCATGAGCTTCGCGCTCGCGACCGTGAAGCCACCGCCAGAGGTCGATGCCGTCGATCCACCTGGGGCGGATGTTGTGTCCTGGCCTGGCTCTGCCGCTGCTGCTGCCGCCGCCGCCGCCTCCTTGTGCTTCTGGGATATGTGCAAGGTCAGGTTGCCGAGCACCGGACGCTTCGTCTCGTCGGCCCAGTTGTCGCTGTCGACGGACCGCTCGAAGCTGCACTTGCTGTTCACCAGGTGAGTCCACAGCGATATTTGAGAGGTACTAGTCACACACCTTCCACAGAACCGGCACTGGAACGTCCACCGTTTGCCCGCCATCGGGTCGAACGTCGCAACCGCTGGCTCCCAGTGCTGGAGTGTTCGGTTTACAGGGCCCCGCGCACCTGTGCGTTGCTTCTCAGCCGCCTCGCGCGCCTCGACTTGACGGAGGGCTGAACGGCCATCGGAGAGCTCGTGGTCGGAGTCTTCGACATCCTCGACAGTCGTGCGTCGACGGCTTGAGGTGGACGCGCGTTCAGGAAGCTCCGTTTGCTTCTGTTTGTTTGGACGGGCTGGGCGGCGGTAAGGCTTCTTTTTCGGCGGTGAGCGCGCGCGCTGTAGTGCGGCAAACGGCGGTCAGCACGTTAAGGTTTACACGGTGAGCACTGCCTTCGAACCTTATTCTGCTTATCCTTTCCCTTCCCCTTCGTGGTCGCCGCCGCTCTCTTTGTTTTCGTGATATCTCTCGCCCTCGTACCTCTACCCTTCGTACCTCTACCCTTCTCGCCATCCGTGCCTGCATCTACCTCCATTTCGGCGTCACTGCCGTTTTTGGCTGAGCTGTCCGATGACGCGACCGAAAAGAACACAAAAGCCACACAAAAACCCAACCGTGAGGTCGAGCAGTGGTATGCGAGGCCTCTGAGTCTATGAGATGTACGGGGGACTGTACAGTGGTCTAGGTAAGAAGGAGGAGGACGGACAAGACTCCGAACGACGTGGGAGAGCTTCGAAGACGTCGAAGACTGTTCGAAGACGAGGGCTAAGCCTCGAAGGTAGGAGGGGGAGTTTCGACAGACGTGTCGAACGAACGGTGACAAGGAAGGCGAGCGACGGCAGGAGAAGAAGTGTAGAGCCTCTCGGGGCAACTACGAGCTGGCGAACGTACTGGCGAACTGACTGACTGGCTTCGAACGTACTGACTGACTGGCGAACTTGCTGACTTCGAACGTACTGGCTGACTGACGAACCTCGCCGGTGCGAGGTGAGATTGAGAGGGTAAGGTGGTCTCTCAGATTCGAAGGGAACCAGTCCCAGAGTATATACAGGGAAACACGGCTATTACCACTACGGAGCTCCGACGGCCCCAAACATCCGGCTATGGCTTCTAACACGTGACAACTGCTCTCGGGCTCGCTAACCAGTGGTCCGAAGGCCGACCGGCTATCACATGACACCGGAAACCAAGACCACTCGTCGAGGATGTGAGACGACCTGCAAGGACCCACTGGACATCCTGTAGCATCCTATGGTCTTGTAGGAGTTCTTCTAACACCGTAGCACATCTTCTAACATGTTCGAGTGTCTTCTAACACATAGTGTATCTTCGAGTGACCTGCGTATTCTGGGCTCGTCTAGATAGGTGGGTAGGTGCTCCTATAGCGTCACTGAGGTGCCGGAAGGTCGCGGATAGTCTTCCAAGGTGAGCCAGGGTTGGCTACGAACTTCGAAATCTTCGAACAGTTGTAGTGGATCTTCTAAGAGCTTCGGAGCATCGTAGAGGCCTAGATTGCGTTTTCGGGGCTTAGATAGCCTAGAGGCGTATCATCTCCCCCTTACTGAAATCCTGACCGTCCTCGGTCAGCGGGTATAGCAGATGAAGGGTGCTTGTTTCGTAGAGGACCACCGGGGTCGGTAGAAGGTGAAGGGTGGTTGAAATTGGAGGTAGGACGTGAACTAAGCATTGCTTGGGTGGTATCATTGCCCCCTACGGCGGGAACAGCTCGTCTAGCACCGTAGAAGACCCTAGCTGTCTTCGTACAAAACACTGTCTGCATCCAGCTTGTCAAATGCATCTTCGAAGTGTTCGGAGGCTCCTAGGGACATCATAGACTCCTTCTCCTTCTCTCTAGCCAGCGGTACACTGTGACGTGCGTGGCTGCGTGATTGAACAACCAATGGGCCGTGATAGCAAGGTCTCGTCTTCGCATTGGGTGACTGCCTGACTGACATGTTCGGAGCTTGATCTAGGTCGTCTCGAAGAAAGTCGAGGTCCCTGACTGTCTCGTAACGCTCAGGCTCGACCCCAAGGTGCAGCGGGCATCTTTGCAAGGTATTCACTCTACGAACGATTAGGTTTGTTGGGTCTGGGGCCATGTTGGGTGGTAGGACTAGGTACGTGTCTTCGAACGTTCGGAGTTGTTGTTCATGCACTCCACGTCGATCCCATGGCCATAGATTGTCTCCAAAAGCGAAAAACAGTGCGGCAGTGACGAACAGCACCACACACATGTAGAAGACTCTCGACACGTGTTTGGGTGGACCTGCTGGTTGCGAGAGCAATAGGGTATGTTCGACGTCTTCGAGGTGTGGGTCTAGCTTTCGAGGCGTGTCTGGTGATGGTACTACCAAGTGGTCGCGGTGATCCTCCCCCTTACTGAAATTGTGACCGTCCTCGGTCAGCGCAGAGATAGATACAAGAGACGGGCGGGGCGGGGAGGGAAGCATGGGCTGCTCGTCATGCTCGGGCAACATAGTAGCCAGTGGAGGTGACAGGCCATCCATCGTAGGAGTGTTCGAAGATTTTGGCGGTAGCACAGCGCACGGTAACTTCGAAGACGTAGGAGCAGAGTCTGGCAACATCGAAGGAGTGGGGGCAGACATCATAGGAGGATCCAAAGGCGTCGTAGTTGCAGAAAGATAGTCCGAACTTTTCGGAGCGTAAGCATAAGCATCCAATGATTTCGGAGGCATAGCAGGAAGGTCGGAAGGTTCCGGAGATGGGAGGGGACAGTTCGACGATTCTAGAAATGGCATAAGAGGCTTCGAGGATTTCGTAGACCTGGGATGGTGGTCTGACGATCTCAGAGATGTAGCTCGAAAGTTCGAAGATTCTTGAGACGTAGGAGTGTGGTGTTGCATTTCTGAAGGGATAGAAGGGGTGTCAAACGTCGTAGGAGTGTTCAAGGATTCCATCAGCGTAGAGAGATTGTTCGAAGACATCTGTTGATAGTCCAAAAGTCTCGGAGACATGGCTTGACCGTTCGAAGATTTCGGAGACGTAGGGGCATGATCTGGCCATTTCGGAGAGATAGGAGGAGTGTCCAATGTCGTAGGAGCACTCAAAGATTCCGTCGACGTGGGGAGATCACCGTTCAAAGGCTTCGAAGACATAGGTCGATAGTCCGAACATTTCGGAGGTGCAGGTTGGTCATCTGACAATCTCGGAGACGTAGGTCGACTGTCCGAAGATTTCGAAGATGTAGGTCGTATGTCTGAAGACTTCGAAGACGTAGGAGTCTCTTCTAACGTAAGGCTCCCTCCGGAAGGCCCCTAACACGGTGACAACTGGGGAAGTGTCTTTGATCATAAGGCTGTAGTTCGAAAGTGGTTCCATAGCTGCAGTGTTTGTAGACGCCTGGTTCGTCTTGCGCTCCGCCGTCCGAGGCGTCAGTGCTGCCCAGTATCGGTCGCGAAGGTACGAAGGCAATTTTCGAAGCTCCTCAGATGTCAATGGTACACACGGAGTGTTCGATGAGGACTCGACAGCCAGTTCGGCAAGCTGGGGCGGGGGCTGTGCTATAAAGAAGCTGGCTCGGCTCTGTCGCTTCGTGGGAGATGCTTCGAAATTTCGAGGGCTCGCTTCGAACTTCGTAGGGGTCGCTTCGAAACGTTGGGTGGGAGGAGGTGCGTAGGTCATGTCTCGAACATTTGCAGATGGGAAAGCGGGACTCTCGGTGTCGATGGTAGGTCGGACGACTGGCGCAGGCGCTAGGGTACTTGGTCTTGTCTTCGAACATGACAGGCGGTTTGGGGCTCGCTCCGAAAACTTCGAACACGTCATGGGTAGTAGTGGTTGATCAGCCAGGTGGGTGTTCGAGCGTAGGGGATGCTTCTCGATGACAACTCGGTCGACAACGGTCTGCTTATGCTGTTCCCGAGCATAGATCTCCGTCAACCGTGATAGCTGGGTGTCCATGCAGGCTAGCATCTCTCCAATGTCGAGGGCATGCGTAGGGATAGGCGGACTCTCGACTGCTTCATAGAGCAACTGCGTGGCTGTAGCGCCTTGCATAGCACTGCCTGAACCACTCGAAGACGACGAACTGAGTCCTAACTTGCTCGAACGACGTGCATGTTCGTAGATAGCGTCTCGGAGGGTCTCGCTGTCTCGGCGACTCATGAAGCGGTTGTCGAACGAGACGATCTTGCCATCGGGGTTCCGTCGACACAGGCCCTTCTTCCTGTCTTCTTCGAACATCTCGCAGTCACCGATCCAACATCCCGAACGTCCGCAATAGAAGCACCGAGGGCTGTCACGACTGTTCGAGAATTCGGTGACCGGCTGTGAGACTGCTGGGCCTCGAGGGTCTTGATCAGCGTCTGTAGCAATGGTAGGAGGTCTTCGGACTTCGTGGTCACAGGTGGGGATGGCAGGATAGACACAGCGGGTGTGGTCGTAGGCATAGGGGGACTAGCTTGCCGAAAGGTCGAAGCTGGTGTAGGACCATCTAACACCCACTGTGCTGACTCGTAGATCTCTGCGAACGTCCAGGGCTTCCTTCGAGAGCGGTCAGGGTTCCGCATGAACAGGCGCTGCTCGATGGGACCCCAGAGCGTATTCGGAAAGCCTTGCTGGAACTTCCGATCTTGTTCGAGTGTCGAAAGCGAACCTCGAGCGATCAGGTACTCCGAAATCATGTAGAAGTCGCGGTAGTAGGCAGCGAGGTGGAGGGCATTGGTCATCCCGAGTTCTATGCGATCATGGACGACCGTGTCGAGATCAGCGAGCGAGTACTTGTGCTCGTCATCAGCTCCAGGATAGAGTGCTCGTAGGGCGGTCACGAACTCCTCGTAGGGCTTCGTAGCATCCTTGAATGTTGGCTGCATCATCCATAGGTCGGAGACGCGGATAGGAGGGTAGCGAACTGCCCATGACTTCTTGTCGGAGTCGTCGGTAACTCGGCATCGTGCGAAGTGTGTTTCGAGGTCTTGGAAAAAGCGTTGAATGAGAAAGGTTCTGACTCGTCGAAGACAGGTGCAGTGGAGTGTCCGCGTGCAGGCATTGAAGCCGCCTTCGAGGCTGGTGCTCCTGCGTCGGCCATATTTGGACTCAGCTTCGAAGTGTTAGAAGGAGTTGGCGAAGCGATAGAAGGGATTGTTGAAATGTTCGAAGGTATTGTCGAAGTGTTCGAAGGGTTAGGGGTGTCGACGGTCGAAGTCCGTCACGGCGTGGACTGCTCTGGTCCTGGAGGGACTGACGACACTCTACGACTGGTGGGTATGGGTAGACGTGAGGTGGAAGATCCTCTACGCGTGGTGACTGTGGCTGAGGTGGGTTCCTCTCCTTCGAGAGGTGGTGATGGTGTTAGAAGCGGTAGAGGGGATCCGAAGACTAGTGCCTCTAAGTCGTCTGCAAGCAAGAGTCTTCGAGCACGTCTGGAATGGGATGGGGTAGTAGGCACTTGGTCTCGAACGGAGCGTTCCGGATCGTCGTGATCGGGGACAAGCTCGACGTTTTCGGGCGAAGAGGGGATAGTCGAAGGTCCTGGGAGAGGGTTGCTATGCCTGCGAAAGGCGGCGGCTGATCGGGGACCTAGTCACTGTCGATAGCGAGTGCGAGGAGAGGACTTTCGTAGTCTCGGTAGTCTTCAGGGTTGACTTCGAAGTTCCGACGCGGCGGAATCTTGCTCTATATCCCCCTCGCGGTGGGCTCCAAGATGACGCGACCGAAAAGAACACAAAAGCCACACAAAAACCCAACCGTGAGGTCGAGCAGTGGTATGCGAGGCCTCTGAGTCTATGAGATGTACGGGGGACTGTACAGTGGTCTAGGTAAGAAGGAGGAGGACGGACAAGACTCCGAACGACGTGGGAGAGCTTCGAAGATGTCAAAGACTGTTCGAAGACGAGGGCTAAGCCTCGAAGGTAGGAGGAGGGTTTCGACAGACGTGTCGAACGAACGGTGACAAGGAAGGCGAGCGACGGCAGGAGAAGAAGTGTAGAGCCTCTCGGGGCAACTACGAGCTGGCGAACGTACTGGCGAACTGACTGACTGGCTTCGAACGTACTGACTGACTGGCGAACTTGCTGACTTCGAACGTACTGGCTGACTGACGAACCTCGCCGGTGCGAGGTGAGATTGAGAGGGTAAGGGGGTCTCTGAGATTCGAAGGGAACCAGTCCCAGAGTATATACAGGGAAACACGGCTATTACCACTACGGAGCTCCGACGGCCCCAAACATCCGGCTATGGCTTCTAACACGTGACAACTGCTCTCGGGCTCGCTAACCAGTGGTCCGAAGGCCGACCGGCTATCACATGACGCCGGAAACCAAGACCACTCGTCGAGGATGTGAGACGACCTGCAAGGACTCACTGGACATCCTGTAGCATCCTATGGTCTCGCAGGAGATCTTCTAACACCGTAGCACGTCTTCTAACATGTTCGAGTGTCTTCTAACACATAGTGTATCTTCGAGTGACCTGCGTGCTCTGGGGTCATCTAGATAGGTGGGTAGGTGCTCCTATAGCGTCACTGAGGTGCCGGAAGGTCGCGGATAGTCTTCTAAGGTGAGCCAGGGTTGGCTACGAACTTCGAAATCTTCGAACAGTTGTAGTGGATCTTCTAAGAGCTTCGGAGCATCGTAGAGGCCTAGATTGCGTTTTCGGGGCTTAGATAGCCTAGAGGCGTATCACCGAGTCGCTGGACAGCGCTGGGGCCTCGCTGCTCTCCGACTCGTCCAGAACGAACTTGCGTTTGGCTGACGACGCTGCGAAGATCCCAGGTGAGTTACAATCAGGTTATGGTCGATTGGACCTTGAATACTCACTGGCTGTTCGTCAGCGTCCGACAGTACGACCTCATGCCCGTCTGCATCGACGCTGTACTCCGGTATTGAATCGATGGACTTCGCGCGCGCCGCGCCGCCCTTGTACGTCTTGTCGCGTGGGTCGTCCTGAATCGTCTCTGACTCTACGGTGAGTGACATGTAAACTCGAGTTTCTTCTTTTTCATACCTTTCGAAAGCAGCTGTGCACTGCCTGTCGTCGTGGCAGTCTTTTTCTTCGGCTTGCGGCGGTCGAGGATGCCGGTTGCGCATGTCCTGCACAATCTGAAGGTGAGCTCTCCGGGAATGATGAGAGCTACAGCTTCGAGGCTTACCAGCTGCGCCAGCCGTTGCTTTCTTGGCGCGCGAGCCTACCGAATTGCTGGCGCTCGGGGACTGCGTCGTCTCCACTGCTCCGAGTCCTGCTTCCACTGTGCCTCCGTCACTGGCACCTGCGCGAGCGGCAGGTAACTGATTTGATGCGGGAATCTCCTGAGGTAATCCGAGTCTTTATGTCATGTAAGCCTATGTAATGCCGTCTGCGAGACGAGCTCTCCACGTACGAATTCGAGCAGAGAATCTCAAGCTCAGCCTTGAGCCTGTTGAGTTTGACAGCTGCTGGGGCATAGAACCCCTTCAACGAGTTCTCGTTGACTATGATCCGGGTGAGGTAGCTTGTAACCTTGTTCATCCCATGTCTCCCTCGTCGCACATGGTGGAGCCGGCCATTCTCGTCGCGGCAGTCTTCACCGAAGAGGATATCGAACCTTCGATTGAAGGTTGCCCATGCAGACTCGCCGTCGATGTTGGTCATGACATCGTAGATCCTGTCATCCTTTGTTGCTTCTGCGACCGAGTTTGGAATCTTCTTACTAAGCTCGACAATCTCTTGCACGATTCGCTCGAGGTTGTCGTGTTCTTGTGAGCCTGTCATACTGAGAAGTCAGGGCTAGGCTGTCAGTGAGATGTGGACTTCGGGACTGCGAGTTCGACGAGTAGAGTGTGACTCGTGAGTGGGTGAGCAGTGACCAGCCCGCCCGCTGCCTGCAACAGCCAAGGCCTGTCATTCGACGATAGCATAAACTTCACTGCGGTGCCTTGAGTCTGCCCGATGGTCCGGGTCCAGGTTCCGAGTGGCTGAAATGAGCGCGCGCGCCTTGGCTCGCGAGCCTCATGCCCGACTGCCATTTTAGGAAGGAGCTATACCATATACAGTATATATACAGTATATATACTATATACTGTGGGCCCTGTAGATATAACGATAAAGTATAGGGTAAAACCATATATATATGGTATATATATTATATCGTTGGAGCCTTAGACTTGGAGCTCGGGTTGATAAGTGAACCCGCCGACGTGGTGAATGGCGTACAGGTAGACGCAGCGCTTTGTGAGGCCGTCTTCTTCATTTGTGCTCACCGCCCAGCAGCGGTGGTCTCCAGGACGGTTGTTTTTGACTCGCTACGAGAGGGACTGTCACTTGATTACGTCTCGCCCACAGAGTGCATCACTTACCTCCATCGCCCTCATAACAACCTGACCAACGAGGAGAGCAAGCTGGGCTTTAGTGGAAGGAATTCCAGGACGGTTCGCGGCCTCGAGAGGTACGTATTCTCCGTGTGCCGTATCTAGAGGATCGTGATCGGGCCACTGAATAACAAATCAGAGAGACTGGCGAGCAGAGCATTTCCAATATGATACTTACATTTACTTTCACCAGTATTTTGTGGTCATTGCCAACCCGAACCTGGTCGAACGGCTTGTCCCAGCCAGGATCTCTCATCATATTGGCGATTTCTTCGAAATTATTTGTCCGGCTGAGCGCATCGATGGACAAACCCCTTCCGAAAAAGACTGAAGGGTATGACCCGGCGAACAGTGCCTAGCCAAGTTCTCGTCCACAAGGGCAGGAACGCTGAGGAGTATATCCCGCCTAAGTTCGTAATCGTGGTCTGCAGGGGTGCAATGGCAAGCGTTCATGATGGTTCGTAGTGAACAAGCACAGGGAAAGCAAGGGAAGGTCGAGCGACGCTGGTGGACAACCACAAGAATTAGCACCGGGGATTTATAGGCAGCAGTGTGGCCCGGGGACCACGCCACAGGGGCAAGAACAAAAAGCCAATCGCCCTGGAAACGGTCAAAGGTGAGATGGTGGCGCTCACCGTGCTGCGGCCAGCGGATCGGGACACTTGTCAAAGCCAATGCAGACGGTCCAAACTGCGCTGTGTTCTGGTCTTCACAAGGGGGGAGAACAATGCTATTTTTGGATTGGTTGCGAATCGACGAACTTGCGATGCGTCGGCTACAATCTGTAGAAAGATGTGTCAACAGGTGTCAACGCAAAGGAAAGGCTCTAGGCCAAAGCGGACAGAGCATTACACGTTGAAAGAAGGGCTCAGGCAGTCCGTGATCAAGCTCTGTCGTGCGGTGCAGACTACATTCAGGATGGCTACCGGCCACATTAAGGCTCCCTCGACTTTCGAGCGGTATTGAGGATTGATCCTATGCGACCTGAAGGGGTTTCGGAAGACGTCAACTTAAACGGCTGACCACATACCATTGAGGTCATCCCAGCGACCTAGCGGATGGTAATGCGATATGCACGCACTCCGGCATTAATCCGAGCCCGTCACTTTCACCGACCACCAGTGCCTCTGTATGAGAGAATGATATCTCTGGCAACATTGCGTCAGTTTGTTGATTACTGGATTACAATAAGGAGATGTTATTCAGCGTGGCTTCTCAGACAGTCTAGTTGGCAAAATCCTTTGATAACGTACTGCTGGCTAGGCTGGTGTCAGGAGTGCAGTATTCACCTCACGCTGCCAGTGAAGTAGATCGTCGCCGTACGTCCGAGAGTGCTACTGATTTTCATCAATCGGTTATGCATTCAGTCACATTTTCGATACGCAAAACGCTCAAAAGAACGATATACGTGTACCCTCCGATCAGTAAACACTGTGGCGGGTAAGTTCTAGGGATGGATGTTTGATTGAAGATCCCGTTCATCGCTGAGCTCGAGCCCTTGGGACCAAATGATGATGCGAGCACCTCAGGTCCCTCGATGTCTACACGCCTTCGGTGCCAGAGTAGCTTCATGATAGCTGTTGCATAACAGCTCGATAACTGTCAGTGTAGCCCTCTGTGGCTAAGCGGAATGCGATTATCCCAGAGAAACGTCACTGCGAAGCGTACAGTTGTCAGGATGTGTACGTTGGCCTATATGCCTCGATGCCCTGGATGCCGGACATGGGGCTCGAGCTAGGTCAGATTCTAGGGCGGTACCAAAGTGGTCACGGAGTTATCTTCATGAATTGACGACAGAGAGAGACGACGACATACATGCAATATATTGGTGTTTGCCCAAGCGCGGCTTTATCTGCCGGTGAGTCAAGTTGCCTACGAACTTGTGATTCAATTGCTTGCGGAGGCGCGTCATTGATTCATTCGTGAGTCAGTCGTTGCAGACAGGGTAAACGTCAAAAGTCAGACATAGCTTCCAAGAGTCAGTACTAGTGCCAGTGACGTGTAAAGGGGAATAAGATTACAGAGATTCGGGCGGGAATAAGAATATATTTGATGGGATGTGGCTGAGGTGTGGCGGGTGTCAGTGAGGATAGGGACACAAAGCACAGTTTGCAGACTCGATATTTCGTCCCCTTTACCCCGAAGGCTGATGTGGAGGAGCCTACAGTGACGTCGAAAAGATGTATCGTTGCAGCTTCGGTCCCCCCAATCCAATTTCATTGTTGCTGGAATCGTTTTAGTATGAATCTCGATATCGGCCGACTGGCGAAATGCATCGCGTTTGACTACGACCAACGGCTTATGTAATGCTTACGTAATCAAGAGACTGCAGGTTCGACCCCTGGTCGGTCATTTCTTTTTTTTCTCGTTGCCAGTCCACATTTCAACGCAAGTTTCAAGTTGGCGCAGACCGACCACTTGCACAGGATGATGTTTGCTTTTTGTGTTCATGTTCTCATCCTCGAACCTACGGTGATGGTCCGAGCGCACATTTGGAAACTGGAGCAAGAGTATGTCGCAATTTTGTTGCGAGTACATTCGACGCCAAAGCCCGGTTACAGACACAAGGCCCTTTCCGGTGGCACAGTCAACAAGAAAGCAATCGGTCGACTTTGGACTTGAACTCACACACGTACTACAATCGTTCTGTGAGTCGTGCTATAGTCGTGCTCAGCCTTCCAGGACACACCAAGCAGCTCTTTCTCACGCATAGTCATCCTATGCCGACGCGCAGTCTCGTGGAACACCATCGGGGTAGCCTACGGCGGCCGACGACTCGCCAATAGACGATGATCCATGAGCCGAGGTGCAACTTTTGTATGGTGGATCAGTAGTAATACGTGAATGCTGTAACAATTTGCGGGGTACTCGGATACCAATGTTTTGATGAAATGGGCGTCGGCCGCCGAGGCTAACGCGTCGGCTGGCCTATTGAAGGAGGACAGCCGCCTTGGACGGGCCCCGCCATCTTGCGTATTGGTGGCTTGTGTAGCTCGGGAGTGTGGTACCCCCGGCGCGATGTTCGAGGGGTGGGTCATTTCGCTGCTTCCTGATTGGAGGTGACATGGGTGGAAGGGTTTTGAGAGTGGAGGGGAGATGTGCCGAGAAATGATCTCGCAACGATGCCTCAGGGTTACTGACCTTGTCCTCGGTTCTCCAAGCCTCGCTGACGACCACATTATTTAGTGTGTCTAACCCGTTATCAACGGTAAACCCGGAGTGAGATTCGGCCGTTTGCAACGTTGGCCCGGAGGCCGACCGGAGCAAACACTCGGGCGTTGTAAGCGTTCCGGCCGGTGATGCCTGGCGATGCTGCGAACGTTCCGGCCGGCGCTGAACAGATACAAGGGGAGGTGTGGGTGTCCAGGATACATAGGTCTCCAGAGCCGTCTGGCAGGCTCGGCCGTACAATGCGATTACTCATGTGAAACGCGCCGGCCGGGGAGTCAACACGACCGCTCCCAGCGCCCCGGCCGGTGTACCATGAATGCCATGCTACACGTGGCGGCCGTTGTCATGGGGGATTATGGAGACTACAGCTGAGACGTTCCGGCCGGCCATTCGCATAGCATGTATGACCTAGCCCGGGCTCGTCCTGACGGTCCGGCCGGGCTTTCATATAGCATGGAGGGACCTTCCCGGGGCTGGCTAGGCCTGCTCGGCCCGACGTTATAACGGTCCGGCCGGCCTCTCGTATGGCATGCAGGACCTTCCCGGGGCTGGCTAGGCATGCTCGGCCCGACGTTACAACGGTCCGGCCGGCCTCTCGTATGGCATGTAGGACCTTCCCGGGGCTGGCTAGGCATGCTCGGCCCGACGTTACAACGGTCCGGCCGGCCTCTCGTATGGCATGCAGGACCTTCCCGGGGCTGGCTAGGCCTGCTCGGCCCGACGTTACAACGGTCCGGCCGGCCTCTCGTATGGCATGTAGGGACCTACCCGGGGCCTGCTAGGCCTGCTCGGCCCGACGTTACAACGGTCCGGCCGGCCTCTCGTATGGCATGCAGGACCTTCCCGGGCTGGCTAGGCATGCTCGGCCCGACGTTACAACGGTCCGGCCGGCCTCTCGTATGGCATGTAGGGACCTTCCCGGGGCTGGCTAGGCATGCTCGGCCCGACGTTATAACGGTCCGGCCGGCCTTTCGTATAGCATGCTGGCTTGGCTCGCCATTCATACTCTGGGCTCATAATTAATTTCTTTCGGGCAGTGGCGTGAGTGTAACCACAGACGAAGGTAGCATTCAACAGCATCGTATCTAACTACTACATGCATTGCGACTATTCCGTTATCCCGAACGACTCCGCGCCTGATAGTACTCCGTCACCCAGTCAACAGCGCGGTGGTTTCGAGTGTTCGCTGCTTGAAGTGCAGTCAGTGCGTCAATGCGAGCCATGATGATGGCC